CGTGTATGTGTGTCTCTCCATTGCTGGAAAAAGGAATGTGTGTGTGTGTGTGTGTGTGTGTGTGTGTGTGTGTGTGTGTGTGTCCATGGCTGAGAAAAAAGTGAGTGCACTTTCCAGGACTTCTGTTATGAGTGTGGTGAGAGAGAGAGACTCCTGGGTGTGTTGAAGCCATTATAGAGGGAAAGAGAGTGAGCTTTGCTTTCCACAGGTACTTAGAGATTCTGTTAGCCTGTTGTGAGAGCGAGAAACTCTTTGCCTGGGTTGCTGGCGCTTCCAATAAAGGAAACATTTATTTAAAAATAGTTGTGTTTGGGAGCTGGGTCAGAACACCTTGTTTTCGAAATATCCATAAATTTGGTTTGCAATAATGCCTGTAATTTGTATTGTAGGGTCCGGCTATACGCTTAAGCTCTCAGTGAACCAAAAAGAAAGACTTAAACGGAGGCTTGAATAAGAATGAACATTTAATCTTTGATCAAAGACAAAAGGCTGGGTAAAACCATTCCAAACACATACAAAGAGATATGTATATGGGAGGGTTCACACCTTCAGAGAAGATGTAACCACTTTTTATACCTTTAAAGCACCAGTTAGATCCCCAACCCTGGCCCCTTAATTTATGTTTGTGTATTCTTTGTTGCCCTGCAAAGGAATCTAAACTTCCAATTAGTCTTATCTTAAGCATTTCTTTGTTTACTTAATTGGCTACTTAGCCCCTGGCTCTGGAAGACCAGATCTTATCCAGATCAGGCATAAATTAGGACTGAGGTATAGTTTATTCCTTTGTTGATGGCTAGTCGTACCATGCTTTTAGATTGATATGAGTTCAGGTCAAATGGCAGGGACATACGTTTGACAAATACCAGATACATTTCAGAGATACATACATTTTCCTAATGACAATATGTTTGTAACAGGAGATACAAATAGAAAGGAATAATATATGTGATACAAAAAGCACAATATATATGTTACTCCAGCAACAAACTCTAAATCAAACTCACATAATGTTCACACAACTGGCAAGGCAACCCCCCCCCAATAGTTAAGATATGCCCCCTATTTTATTCCAAACATGCACACTGTTGTACTGTTTTTTCTACCCCAGAAGCACTTATTATTTGGGGGAAGGGGGTTCCAGAAAGTGGAATTCTGAAACTAAGTTTTGAAAGCCTCAAATGGAAGTCTTTCTAGGACACGGGTGTCAAACTAGAGGTGTCACGTTGCCATCATGTGACATTTCGCCAGTTTGACATCCCTGCTCCAGGATGTTAACTCCACTAGTTAATGGGACTAAAATGGCAGTTTGGGTGCACTTATGAGTTGGGTGTTTTGGCTTAGCCTGTAATGCAGAGATAGCCCGCAAAATTTTAGGCAGCATGAATGGCAGTTGTACTAGAATCTTCCAGGGCTCTGCCCTTCCTCCCAACTGGAGCTGAACCAGGTTAATGACCATTGATCAGGTGTAACCACGCTAAAAACGAATTGCTCTCTAGTCGCACAACTTTTTCGTTCTTTTTCTTTCTATGGCATGTGTTTTATTTCAAATGGGAAAAGAAAGAGTTAGAATGCAACCGGGGTGTATCTGACATAATGGTCTTTCATGCTAAACACACAGCCTCCCCTCCTTCCTTCTGAAACCTAATGATTACAGAATAACAAGCTTTTACTAAATCTAGTATATTACTATTTTATATTCTATCTTTATTATTGTTTCCCTACAGTATGTTGTCAGCAGGCAAGTGATTGGCCTGTAATTTTCAGGTTTGTTTCCCTTTTCTGCATCCTCCTGAATCAAACAAAGTTCTTCCAGTCATTAGCAATTTTTCACTTTCTGATGTTTCCAGAACTTGATTCATTCATTCATTCATTCATTCATTCATTCATTCATTCATTCATTCATATAAACTGCTGCATACCTTAGCTGGTTTGTTTGAATATGTTTCTGTTGGAATAGTCTGGACAGCTTCATTCTGTGGGACATGAGAAAATTCAAAAATAAAATAGTATGTAGGTATATAGGTCAGAAATGCATATAAGTGAAGATTCAATTTTGCTTAGGCAGGGGGTTGGACTGGATGACCTGCAAGGGTCCCTTTCAACTCTGCTACTCTGGTAAATTTGTTAGACATTATTCTACTTTAGGATAGTTGGAGAACATGCTGACCAATATGTAACAATGTTGTGTTAAAAATAAATCTTCTTTTGTTTTAGGACAGTTAGAAAGAGGCCTTGAAAAAGGGGACATTCTTTAATGCTAGGGCAGTAGAGATAAGAGAGAGCCATGCTTGCAAATTATTTTATGGGCATAGTTATGGGGAGGTGTTGATGAACATGTAATTAGGGAAAAGAGATGATGTTGTCTCTGAAGGCATTACGGATTAGCTGTGATCGGTCACTGGATGCGATGTAGGAGGGGCATGGGGGGGCGTTGACATAGGGAACCATAAAATGTAATGCTTTTGAAATTTTAGGCGTGGCTTCCTGGCTCAAACTCCTTGTTGAGCTCTGCTGGGATACCACCCTATTTTGCAAAATTGTTTTTATTATTTTCTTTTAATAAAGTCTCTTTGTTTTCATCGATCCATGCTTGTTGGTTGAATTCATTTCCAACAATTCCCATTCTTCAATAATTTAGCCAAATTTATCTTATTAACTTGATTCAGTTCTGGCAATCAATTTCTTTCCATGTTTTCCATCTGAGTCTTAATCTTCTCACCTAATTTGGTTCAAGCTGTTGGTTCTTCAAGATCTAATCCAACTCTTGCTTCTTGTTCCGCATCTGCTTCTCTGATTTCCTTCCTTTTCTTCACTTGTTGCTCCACTTCTAAATTATCTCTATTATCAGTTACACTTGAGTCTTGATCTTGCAACTGCTCTGCTTGCAATCTCTTGTAATTCTGCATTAGTGAAGAGTTTGTGCTTCAAAATAACACGCCACTGGTCCATAAGTCTTTGTTCATTGATTTCTATATCTAAGTGATTCCCCTTCCAAATCTTGAACATGCGTTTTTGAAATCCACATTTTGTTGGCTCAGATCAATAATAAGCTTCCATAATTGAGTAATTTTCTTCCTTTGTCCAGATTTTTTTGCTTTTTTCATTCATTTTCCAGTCACCTGTCAACTCCATAGTTTTCCAGTCACCTGTCAGATGGAGCTGTGTCCTGTAGCATATGGGGAGTTGTGTTTGTGTGTGAGAGAAATGAAAAAGTGAAACAAAAATAAATTGGAGGTTAAATGGTCCAGGCCCGAAATGGCCATCCAGGGGAACAACCATTAACCTGAAAGAGGGGCCATCCCTGTCATTGCACCCAGTGGACATCTGAAGGGCAGGAGTTGCCCAGATTGAAGAAAAGAAGAATGGGCAAACTGGGAGACACAGTGGAAGGAGCCAGAAAGAACTCTCATCTTAGAGCAGGAAGACAGGAGTGGAAATGGCATTGGCAGGAGGGATGACTGCAGGATGATGTCATCTCATCCATGAAAATTAACCCTTTGTGAGATAAGCATGATGTCTCATGCTCTGATTGACTGCTTAGCTGTTGATTCTCTTCCCCCTCCCCCACCCCAATTTCAAAACAATCTTTCCAGTCTGGAATTCAATTGCTCACACACACACACACCTCAGCTCCTCAACACTTCTCAATGTTTTCCTTTCCTTTCCTTCTGTTATGTACAGAAACATGCTTCTCTTTTACTGCTCATTTTCAAATTAACCCTCCCCTGATGCCTACACCTGAATGAAAAAAAATTCACTCAATCAATTCCAACTTTGTGAGATCTTTTTCTTTCACGACAAGTTGGCATTGATTGATTGAACTTTTTTCTTAGCCCCACACAAGCTTTTGTTTCTCTGCACATGATCATGAGAAATGCGATGGAGCTGGATATCAGGTAGGCAAAGAAATGCTTGGGGAATTTGGGGAAAGTGAGGGCATCTGGGTGGTGGTGGGTGTGGAAAACTCTTCTGCCCACAAAGAGAAGAGAAGGGGGAAGAGAAGAGATGGCGGAAGGAGCTCCGTCTTGCTCCACATGCCCCAATGAAAGGCAGCAGCAACCCAGCTTCTTCCCTTCCCCACAAAGAAGGCAGGCAAGCATGCTGGGGCCACGGACCATGTGGAAAGAGTAGGGAAGGAAGGCAAGCGGGCCTGGCCACGAAGAGTGCTGGGAAGGCAGGCAAGCATGGCGGGGCTACAGGCCATGTGGAAGGGAGTAGAGAAGGCAGGCAAGTGGGCCTGGCGATGGGGAGCCCTGGGAAGGCCGTGGGGGACTAGGGAAAGCAGACTGGGATGGTGGGGGTGGCAGCTAACTGGACTGCGACTCGCAGGCTTACTTACCCAGGCAGGCATATCAGGGCCACTCAGTTGGGCCGCAGGCACTGCGTGGGAAGGCAGGCAAGCAGCAGAGACTGTGTGGTCAATGCAAGCGAGGAGCTACAGTATGTGCTATACTGGGGAGACAAGATGAGTGACTGGGCAGGGTGGCCGGTGAGTGGGCAGGCCAAACAGCAGTGGTGGCTTGCCCCCGGTTCACACCAGTTCTATAGAACTGGTAGTAAAAGCAGCGGGAGGCTCTGGCCACTGACCCCGATGTCATCAAAATGCTTCTGCGCATGCGCGCACAGCCCCATTGCAAATCGGTAGTAAGGGTAAGTAGAACTCACCCCTGCCAAGTGGCAAGTGGGTGGGCAGGGCAAGCAGGTGTGTGGGGCAAGCAGGCGGCAGGGGGCGGGGCCATCTAGAGGTGGCATTTGCCAGTTCTCCGAACTACTCAACATTTTCGCTACCGGTTCGTATGAACTGGTCCGAACTGGCTGAATACCACCTCTGCAACCATAGCTTAAATGTCCTTCTGAATCTTTTGTTCTTGTCAGGCACTTGTGCAGACAGCAGTTTTAAACTGGAATCTCAAAAATTCTCTGAGAGTAAAATAATAAAAATAAAAGGAAATAAATATATTGCACTGCGGTACAGCACAAAAGCAAGAAATGCACTCCTACAAATCCTCTGGGATGGGTAGTTTGTGGAGAGTAAGAAAGGGAGAGAGTGAAATTGAGGGACGGTTACTTTGTTTTCAAACAATACTGGGCTCTTGCCTGGGATGTTGAAGCCTCCATGTCACAAGACCGTAAGATTGTTTTCAGTTCTTTACATGGCTATATTTTACAGATATCAGAAAAAAAACATGAAATGTATATTTATGTACTTAGGCTAATGTCAGCTACATATTTTCTTAAGCAATTTTTATTTCACAACTTCCTATTTTCAGTATTGAGGCAGCTCTGCTTCCTATTTTTATAACCATTTGTCTTGTCCCTCAATACATCTGGGGTTACGTTTATGCTCACCAAAGCTTTTTTTAAAGTTATATGTGTGTATCTACTTTGTTTTGATTTTCTCCTTATCAACTCAAACACACCAGAGATAACTCTAACTATCAAACTTTTTGAAGCTGGATCATATTTCTCTTTCTATATTCCCTTTAAAATAAATCTTGATTCTTTATTGATTAGAATTCTACATTATGATTATATTGTATATTGACAATTTGACAATAGTATTATCAAACAATTGCACAGAATTATATGTACTTAAGAATATATAACATTATTTATAGTTCCTTGTTTTACAGATTCCAATAAATTCTGATAAGGATTAAATGCCTCCATGTCCATATGGTAGATCAAAAAAAAAAAAAAAGAGTAGTTTTAATCTTTGTGGTTGCTAGGAATCAGTATGGACTTGGGGGCACTTAATCAATCACTCACTCACCCACTCAATCAATATTTCCTTTCTTATGTTATCCCCCTTTGAAGTCTGTACATAATTTTTTTTAATGATTTATTGTCCACATTTCCATGAACAGATCTGTGTTCTAACTTTCATTCTTTTTTTCTATTTTTTCCTGGAGGCTCACCTATTTTTTTTGACCAGATCAGACAGCATGGTTCAAAATACAATTTCATGTGTGGTAGGCCCAAACCCTTCTTTCCTTAGCATCTTGCAGTTGCTTATATCTAATTCTTGGTTTTTTCCTTTGCCATATTATGAACTTAAAAATATACTTCTACCATTGCTTAATTGGATTGTCAGTTATAAGTATTGGTAACATCTGAAATAAAAAAAGCATCTTTGGTAAAATATTCATCTTGATTACAGAGATTCTACCCATTAATAATAAGTACAGTTTATCCCAACTTTGTAAGTCCTGTTTAATATCCCTCCAAAGAGGGAAGTAATTGTTTTGAAACAGTTTTATATTTGTCAGCATAACCCCTAAGCGTTTCACCTTTTTTTCAACCCTAAAATCCAACTTTTTGTTCAATATATCACTATCCTGAGAAGACATATCCTTGATCAGCATTGTTTTCTGTTTATTTACTTTGAAATCTGCCAAAGTCCCAAATTCATTCTCTTAACTTTAATTCTTGTAGCTTGGCATTTTTCATCTGAAAAGAGAGAAAAGTCCTCAGTTCCCATTAAACTTGCTGAAAGAACATTCTTCAGACTTTCACTTGAAAGAGCCTTGATAGTACAGTGGTCTAAGGCACCCTGTTATTAACCTGCAATTACTGCAGGTTCGACTCTTACCAGGCTCAAGGTTGACTCAGCCTTCCATCCTTTCTAAGGTAGGTTAAATGAGGACCCAGTTTGTGGGGGCAATAAGCTGACTTTGTATAAATATACAAAAGTATGAAGGCTATTGCTTAACGCATTGTAAGCCGCCCTGAGTCTCCGGAGAAGGGCGGCATATAAATCAAATTAAAAAAAAAAAATGAAATTCCAACTCTTCCTTTTCATAGTCCGAATGCAAACAAAAACAAAAATCAAGCACGCAAACATGAAGAAACTCAAGACATGTAGTCCATCCATTTTCCATTCCACAGAATACATTTTCCATTCACCCTATAATGAAAAAAAAAACACACCTGTCAACAAAAGATTATTCTCCAGTGTTGTCCCAAATAGAGCTTTACAGCGATCCATCTAATTATCCCTGGGGGCAGACCCACACCTTCAAATATAATCTGATCCACCCCAGATAATTCCAGGGTTTATTTGATCTCATTCTTTCCAGGTCTGTTTTGTCTATTCACAAAAGTTGATTTCCATTCCCTTTGGGAGGATTTGCTATCCCTATAAAATCTATCCATTTTAGGAGGGGAATTCTTTTCCTTTTTTAAAAAAAATAAATAAATAAATCTTGGCATCCCAGTATTTCTCACATTGGTCTGCAGCATTTCCCCCCCTCAGAATTAGGTAAAGATCATAGATCTCTCAAATTTTTATTTCATTTCTAAACTTGAGCATTACCTCTCTCCCTCCTATTTTTTCTGGCCCGGTTCTCAGTACATCCTCCCAATCAGGGCCATAAATGTGAAAGTCATGTCACTTTTTTCATTGATTTTAACAGTCACTAAATCAACGGTTTTAAGTTGAGGACTACCTGTAATGCAGTTTAAGGCTCTGTAATAAACTGGTCCTTTGAAAGAGCTAGTAGGCATTATACTAATCATATTAAAATAGAAGACATTGGGAGGGGAGGGGTTGTGGTGAAGGAAGCAAATGACAAAATATGCATCATAATATCACCTGAAAGTACGTAAGAGGCATGAAACACATTTCAACCTTTGATAAAGTCTCAGCTTGCTGTGGATTCTCCTGAAAGTCAACCATGTTTGACACTTTGGACTCATCTTCACATGGCTCCAAAATGTCACTCCAACCATTTCTAAAGGCTATATTTTCATGACATATTTCATCCCCGCCCCAGCCCATGGCGTAGTTAAGCCTACATTCATCTTTTGGTGTTGCAGCTTCATGGTTATATTTTTCTTCTGCTCCTGAAAGAAGCCTTGTCATAGGGATGATCTGCCAGATCTCACAAAGGAACTTGGTAATGCTGCTGCCCAGGTCTTATTGGCCTCTTGAGATTGCCTGGGTACCATCCTCTCTCTAGTGGCTTTTGGGCTACAGGACAAATAAGACCTCTAGTTACTGCAAAGGCCTTTCCCTGAGCATTGCATGAGTGGTGCTCTGCAAAGCATTGGTTAGGCAATATGTGAGCTTCTGAGGTACAGAGTTGGGCTGCCCTTCTGCACTTACACTAATTTTTAAACACTTGTTTAGTTATCCTTTGAATGATGGATGGTCAGAGCATTGGCTTTAGAATAACCAAGTTCTGCCAAATGAATGCATTTTTGACTTTCAAAAGAGTGATTGGTGGATGTTTTTCCTCTCACCAGGAAGAGATGCTAAGTGGGAGCAGAAATGAAGTCATGGCAATCCACCAGTCACTGCTCTTAAAGTCTCCCAGAATAATGTTTTATGAAGAACAACACTGCCAGGCTCATTATTCAGTGTGTGATTATTTATAAGACTTATATAATTAGCCATCTTATGTACCACAACTGTGGGATAGTTCACAACAATAGTAAAAACCAAAACTAGGTAAAATCAAAATATGGCAATCAGGTGATTATAGCAGTGGTGAAATCTAAATTTCTTTCCTACCGGTTCTATGGCTTGCTGGGCGTGGCTTGCTGGGGTCATGTGATTGGGAGGACGTAGCTATGTAACCATGTGACTGGGGGATCAAAAGACAGAAACTCACTAAGAATATCCTGCTGGAGTAGGGTTGAACTAGATGACCTCCAGGTCCCTTCCAGCCCTGAATTATCCTCTGAAGCTGCATCTAGTGCCAGGTTTGTAGTCCTTCCTTCCTTCCTTCCTTCCTTCCTTCCTTCCTTCCTTCCTTCCTTCCTTCCTTTCCTCCCTCCCTCCTTTCTTTCTCTTTCTCTCTTTCTTTCAAAAACTCTCTTTCGGCCAAAGAGGTTGTAGAAAAAATGCTTTTAAAAGTAAAAATAAACAGCCTCTGATGATCATGCGGCTCAGCTGGGCATGGGGGGGGGAGGGATTTTTGCTACCGGTTCTCTGAACCACCCGCCGCCATTGCTACAGGATCGGGCGATCCGGTCCGAATCAGGAGCATTTCACCTCTGCCTCTTTCTCAATAAGAACAAGAAAAAAGTTCATAACAATCTTCTATTAAAGAAGCAGATAAAAAACTACACAAAATAAGTGAATAAATTCTCATTAAGACGGAAAATATAAGTTCAAAATGCCACAAGTGAAATATTTCACTTCATTTTATTTAAATTAAAATGTTTCTGTAATAAACAAAACCTAGGAAATTAGTTAAATAATATACAAATCAAACAGAAAAGAATTAACTGAAGTTTTACCATAATATCTTTAACTTATACCCTGAGTGTTTTAGTTCTTCACACAGCAGCTTCTCCTCATTGTCTCTAATGTGGTCACCATGCAAATATAATTCACGCAGGGTCTGGTTTATCCTGAGAACTCCTGCAATGTGTCTCCTACAGGAGTCTCTCAAGAACTCTTCATTAAGTCTACAGAAAAATTACAGATACATCTTAAAAAATCAACTATTAACCTGGAGTCTTGAAGAACTTGGAGTCAATATTATTATTTGTAGATAATTGTAGATCTTCTCCCTTGATATGTTTACAAAAGATAATTACACACATCAAATTGAAAACTCTCTCATCTACATTAATCTCTCTACATGTAGTCTAAATATTTGAGCCACTCATACAGTGCTTCTATTTCTCACCCTTAACATGGACAAAAACCCCTAACTCTCTTGCTGATTTTTTTTCTGAGAACTTTCTGAGCAAGATCTCTGCAGTATTCTTTTGCAGACTTTCCATGAAGCCTGAACTAGAATAATATCTTCAAAAAGAAGCATGGATTCTGTACTCTTGAAGGACCCATACTGTCAGAGTTCCAAGTAACGAGCCCAAAGTAGAGATCACATCATCAGCCTTGGATCCATTAATAATCTCCTTTATTGGACAAGTCATATTGGTGCATCTGGGGAAAACACAATTCTGAAAACCCCGTTTTCTCCACCCAATTCAAACCCAAAGTTCCTTCCCCTCAGGTGGGACATCCATCACAGGTCCCAATCAGGTTACAGTCCCAACTTCTGATGCTATCGATCCACGCCTGGTGAGAATGTCCTTGCTTCCCAGGGGAAAGAATTGTATTATGGCTGCAGGACCCCAACTATCTCTTCTCCCCATCCCGTTCCCACAGCTTCAGACAGCCTCGCTGTGGCAGCCCTTAAGACATCTCAAAAAAATGGCCTCAGGGTTGACATACAGAATATGATTACATACTGTATTGCAACTGAAACTGCCTCTCTGTGGATATAGTTCCAGAATAGAATCAGTTAAGAGAAATGATACAAATCAAACTGAAAAACAAACATTGCTCACTCACCGTATTACTTCTATTTTACAGTCTGGATGTTTGAGCCCCTCACATAAAATTTCTGTTGCTCTTTCATCTGTGCTGTTGGGAAACAGCTCAAACTCTCTCAGTGTTTGATTTTTCTTGAATACTTCTGCAAGAGGCCTGCTGAAGGATTCTGTCAGAGACTCTATATGAAGGCTGTAGAGAGGAGTGCAAAAAATTTCCTTTCATTTGGTTTCTTGAGCTTGCACTCTATCAATCTCTGATTTGTCATTCATTTGTCCCTACATGGTACACAACCATTTCAGGGGCTTCCAGATGACAGAATGGAGAGCTAGATGACTCTTTAATTTTATCTTCTGTTACAGGTTGATTAAAAACTTATTTTCATTATCTGTAAATTTTTGTAAGCAATAGTCCATTTAATTATTTAATTTTTGATGGATCAAATAATTTATTTCATGGCAGAAACATATTTGGTTCCATACCAAATCAAAGTAATTATTATTATACAAATAATAATAATTTCAGTCATATCACAGCAGTTTAATTATTATCTCTTTAAGATGCCTCTATAATAAACAAAACCTAAGGATTCAATTGAATAATATATAAATCAAACAACAACCAAGAACATTTTCAAAGGAATAAAACTCAGATGGAAAAAAGGAAAGAAGACACTATCCTTCCTGGATACCTTCATAAGCAGAAGGACAAAGGTAAGTGAGCAGAACACAATGTCACCTTCAAGCCCGCTGTTTGCAGGCTTGCTGCTCAGCTATGTTGGGCAAATGGCAGAGGGAGGAACTGGTGAAGCCAAGAGAGCAAAGCTGAATGCAGCTAAGCAGTGGACTTGCAAGCAGTCAGTTCAAAGGCAATAAATCCAAATGCACCCAGCTTCGCTCAACTGAGTTACAGCTTTGTGAGGATGCAGATTGGGGAAGAAGCTGCTCTATAGGCCACGTTTCTCCATTCTGGAAGCAACCATCATTCCAGTGGCCTTAATTCATTGGGGACACCCTGAAACCTTTATGACACCAAGGGAGAAAGCAGCATTTTCTCCTTCCCCAACGGGAGCTCCAGAACGTCTAGAAGGAAATATGTGGTAAAGGGTGAGTGTTTGGGATGTGGGGCAGGGAGGAGCATATGGTTCCTAGTGGAGGCAGGTCCAAGGCAGGGGTAAAATGCTCCTAGTTCGGACCGGCTCGGGTGAGTAGGTAGCGATGGCGGTAGGCAGTTCAGAGAACCGGTAGCAAAAATCCCTGTCCCCGCCCTCCATGCCCAGCTGAGCCGCGCGATCATCAGAGCCTTTTTTTACTTTTAAATGGCTCTGATGAGCCAAGCTCTGATGATCCCAGCTGAGTTGCCTGCTAATCATAATTTTTAGTTGTTCTTTTTTTAGACCTAGCCATTTAAAGTTTAGGAAATTTTAAATTTAGCTGCTTTTATATAAAAATAAAATAAAATAAAATAATATTTGTGAAGCTTTTTGAGATTTAGTATGTTTCTGTAGTGTTTCACTCTAACTACACAAACACACAAAATCTCACAAAGCTGTATGTGGAATTTTGTGTGTGTAAAGTGTGAAAATTGGTTTTTTGGGTTTTTTGTGGCTGTGTGAGGTTCCTGTTTGTTGCAGGGGCCATTTTGGGTCTAGCACAGCTGCTTTTACATTGTGGGTGAGCCAGTTGTGTTGTGTTGTGTTTTGTAGGTTAAAAAAGGGCAAAGAAGTGACATTGACTTGGCCAGGCCCATCCAGTCACCTTACCACCAAGCTCCGCCCACTAATTAAGCCACACCCACAGAACCGGTAGCAAAAAAATTTAGATTTCACCCCTGGTCCAAGGGCTCAGGGACTTTGAGGGACTGGAAGTGTTTCCCACAGGATTCTTTCAAGAACTCTTCATTAATCCTACAGGGAGAAGTCAGAAAAATTACAAATTGATCTATAAACTGTAGTCTCGAATAACCTGAAATGAATATCTTTATTTGTGGATAATAGTACAGCTTTGTGAGCATGCAGCTTGGGGAAGAAGCTGCTCTATAGGCCGCGTTCCTCCATTCTGGAAGCAACCATCATTCCAGTGGCCTTAATTCATTGGGGAATTCAAGGGAACCCTGAAACCTTTGTGACACCAAGGGACAAAGCAGTTTTTTCTCCTTTCCCAACAGGAGCTCCTTCCCCAACAGGAGCTCCAGAAGGAAATATGTGGTAAAGGGTGAGTGTTTGGGATGTGGGGCAGGGAGGAGCGTATGGTTCCTAGTGGAAGCAGATCCAAGGGCTCAGGGATTTTGAGGGGCAGGAAGTGTTTCCCACAGGATTCTTTCAAGAAGTGTTCATTAATCCTACAGGGAGAAGTCAGAAAAATTACAAATTGAACTATAAACTGTATTCGCGAATAACCTGAAATGAATATACTTATTTGTGGATAATAGTACAGCCTCTCCTTGAATATATTTACAAAAGAGAAACTATCAAGATGGAATCAACACAAATCACCCTGAAAATTCTGCTCAGTTACATTAATCTCTTTACTTATCCTCTGAATGTTTGAACCCCTTGAACAGTGCTTCCATTTCTTTGTCATCTTGAACATGGACAGGAAACTCCTAACTTTCTTATTGACTTGTTTTTTTTCCCCCCCCGACAACTTCAGCAAGATCCCTGCACTGGTTGTTTGAAAGACTCTCTGCCAAGCCTCCAGAAATATTCAGAAGAATCAGAATAACATATTTGAAAACTGTATTAACATATGCTAAAGAATTCTTACTGGGAGGATTTTGGAGAAGGACCTTCTAGGCCATTGCTCCTGCCTTATAGAACTTCTTACCTCCACAAATGAAGTTGGTCCCTAGTCTTTTGGCCTTCTGGAAGAACATGAAGACCTGGCTCTGCCAACTAGCAAGGGGATCCTACAGTGGTATGCAGCCCAAGGGGTGACCGGTGTCTTAAAGATGCTCTCTTCAACTTTTTTACTTTGTATATTTTTGTATGGTTTTTACAGTCTACTTTATTATAAATCACCCAGAATCACATATATATTGAGATGGACAGGGTATAAATTTGATTGATAAGTAAATATATAAATAAGGCAACAATTATTGAACCAAGGAAGCTGAAATAGGCTTATTTATAGAATGCCAGGATCCATGACTTCTATGGGAATGACATTTGGCAATGTTGTGACTGCTTCAACATTACCATGTCTTTTAACTACACTTTCCAGAAACAACTTAGATTGTGTGCTGCAACAAAAGATGGAATGACAAGAACTGCACCTCCAACCAGCATTGCAGTATATACCCAGCCTCTTTTCCACCTCCATTTGGCTCCTATGTCCAATTGGCTGGTGACCAAAATCTGAGAGATGAGTGGTCATTGGTTGCTTTGGAACTAGGCCAAAATTTGAATTTTCTTAGCCACTGTTGCCAGTGAGGTAAGGGTGAGGCAGTGACTCAGATGCCTGCTGGGGAGGTAGGCCTGGCTGGTGGACACCATCGATCAATGAGTGAGCACTCTTCTCCCCTGGAGGGAGGTGGACCTTGGGGACACACTGCAATGCTAGTTGGAGATGCAGTTTTTCCCACAGTCCTCAGCTCCCTTTGTTCCCCATCATCTCAATGAAAGTAGTTTGCAGATCAGCTAAGGAGGAAGAGAAAGAGAAAGTAGAGTAGATCCTCTACTGAGGATCATGAGGAGAGGGGAAGTGGCTCCAGATTATATTATATGTGGAAAGAAGAAAGTCTGAGCAGGTCACAGGTTGCCTAGTTACATATTGAAACAAGAACTGCCTCTCTGTGGATATCTTTCCAGAAAAAACAACATTCAAGATAATACACATCAATGAAAAACAAACACTGCTCACTCACCATAGTTCTTTTATTTTACATTCTGGACATTGGAGCCCCTCACATAGCATTTCTGCTGCTCTGTCATCTGTGTTCTTGAAGAACAACTTTAACACTCTCAATCCCTGGTTTTTCCGGAGTACTTCTGCAAGATGCTTGCTGAAGGATTCGTTCAGGGATTCTTCAGAAAGCCTATAGAGAAGAGTGTGAAAAATTACAATTATTTTTGAAAAACAAGCAGAGAGTATATTATTTTTTAAAAATATACTTTATAAAATTTCTACAAAAGATAAAATATAAAAAACAGACAAAAGTTGCTAAAAAGGAAAAAGGAAAAGGAAAAGTGCAAAAGAATAAAGAAAAATGATAACAAAAGAAAAACTTCCAAGTTTTCCTATACAGCTGCAAATATAAAATACATTAACATTTTGATCTAAAATTCAATTCAATTCAATGAAACAATTCAATTAAGTCAGGTGCAGTGGTTAGAATGCAGCGTTGCAGGCTAACTCTACCCATAGTCTAGAGTTCGATCCTGATGGGCTCAAGATTGATGAAATTACAGCAAATCACATGATAACAGCAAAAGATTAATATCAGATTGTATCAGATTAATATCAATAATTAATGAATTAATTAATTAATATCAATTAATTAATTAATATATCTGATATATAATGCAACATAATGTAATAAACAAAATATTATGAGAAATGTACACAAGGAATGTTTTGTCACTGAATTAAATGCATGAATGAATATATCTTCAGGATTAAAAATTAACAATCTTTGTTATAAGAAATTAACATATTTGAAAGAAGGGAAACAAGCATGACAGATTCAATAGGTTTTTTAAAAAAAACAATTGACATTAAAGAGAAAAAATACTATCTTACATTGGAATGCTTTTTTGTAGTTCAAACAAGTGTTTATGTGGGCAGAAATAGAAGAAGAAAATAAGCCAAACAAAACTAGCCCAATGCAAAATGCAATTAGAAACAGTGAAATAAATATATATTAGGCATATCCACACTACAATTCACAGAATTATGGTTAATCAAGAAAGATAAGTCCAAATTATTCAATGCTAATAATAACCAAAGTAATATTTATAGCAAGCCAAAGGTCTCTTGAAAGAAAATGGAAATTGAAATTTTAATGTGCATTATCAAATAACTTCAAGCCACTGTTTATATCAAAGCAGATTCCCAAAATCATAAGGAGAAGAAAGTTCAAAGCATCTTTAGTATATTAAAAGAAGCTAGTAGACAATTGAAGAGAAAGTACAGGATGATATAATCCACCTGAATTACTATAGTCCACAAAATTGCTTAAATCCAAATTTAAAAGAAGAGGTTAAAAGAAGCAGAATAAAATATCTGCAAAGCAAAAGCAAAAGTTACAGACTTTGAAATCTATGAAATTTAGATGCAGACATTCTTATCAGCGTAAATGCTGCCATAACTGCAAATGTCTTAATAACAATTTCTAATCTTCATGGTTCATCCTAGGAACAGATCCCAGAGGGAAAAAAAATTAGTCCTGCCAGGTTCTCAACAATTAGCAGATAGGAAAGTAAGGAGGCCCCAGATTTCATACCATTTAGCAAAAATTCTTTATGGCTTTTTCATTATGATCAGGTATAGAACAGTGGTGGGTTCCTCCCCATTCGGCCTGGTTCCGCCGAGCTGGTAGCGGTGACGATATGACATCACCGAACTGGTTCTGCCCCCTGCCCCCCCTGCATTATTCTTACCTTTTATTTGGCCCCACCCCCAATCTATTTCTGCCTCCTGAGTCCCAGCTGATCGGCTAGAGAGAAAAAAACTGTTTAAACTCTTGCTGCAGGGCTTCAAAGGGCCGCCCTACAGCTGATCAGTGTTAAAAGAAAACAAATGAGTAGACCGATGCCTGCAAAAATAAATGGGTAGACCGGTGCCTGCAAAAATGAATGGGTAGACCAGTGCCTCCAAAAACAAATGAGTAGACCGGTACAGCTCTGCAAGCAGTTAAAAGCCTGGTAGACCAATACCTCTGATAAATCCTAAAGAATTGTCACATGACCATCAAGCCACACCCACAAAATAAGCCATGCCCACAGAACTGGTAGTAAAAAAATTTAGAACCTGGTATAGAATAGAAAATGTATTATTCTCGAAGGAACTGAAGAGAATATAGCCATATATAACAACTGGAAGTGTCTTTTCATGAATATATTTCCAGAACTCCAAGAGAGACATCAAAATGAAAAATAAATACTGGTCACTCACTGCAGTTCTTTTACTTTACAATCTGGATGTTGCAGCCCTGCACACAGCAATTCCATTGCTTTGCCATCTGCATTCACGGGGGACAACTCCAACTGCTCCAACCTCTGATTTCTCCTGAATGTTTTTTCAAGATGCCTGCTGCAGGATTTGGTCAGGAACCCTCCAGGAAGCCTGTAGAGAAGAATCTGAGAAATTACATTTTTTCCCCTTGGCAAACAAGTGTGAACTGTATTCTTGTAGGAACTGATAATAATATGATTATATATTACAACTGAAGTGCCTCTGCCTGTATATATTTTCAGATGATTAACTGTCAAAAGACATCTCTGTGTTCTTTAAGTACAACGTTAACATTCTGGCTTTCCCTGAAGACATCAGCAAGATGCCTGTTGAAGAATTCTGATGGAATATCCCCCCAAACAACAGCAATTATTCAGAAGCATTAGAATGGTATCTGATAGGTATGCTTTACATTTATAATTTTCAAAGAAGAATGGAAAAAGATAATACAGAAGTATCATATATAAAAATGGATGGTACAGAGATGATAAACATCTCAAGAAAGAATTAAATGATGATGATCTAAAATATCCTATGATGAACACACCTACAACTATTGTAAGACATGCCATACTCAATTTCTAGTAAAAAAAAAATGTCTGTATTGAACTGTAAAGATACTTGTTTAACACAAACTGAAGTCAATAAGATGAAAAAAGAAAAACTAGAGATGATAAAAAGTACACTAAAATAATCCTGTAAATAATATGTAGATTATCAAAATGAAACATTGAAACCCGTATGCTGAATATAGCACCATTTCTAGTGTCTGGTTGTAATCTAAAAATGGTTTCCAAATAATTTCTAAGTCCAATTTTCTTTAAACTAATATAGACATTAAAGTATATTCCCACAATTTCATTATCCCTACTTCTATAGATAGGATCAAAGATCTTTTTCAATAAAGAGCGTATAAAATCCTTGCAATGGTTAACATGTACTGAATTTTAGTTCAGTATATTTTGAAGAAATGTGTTTAGTAACATTTAATAAAAATACCTCAGGACGAAATGGAATTATGACTTCAAAATTTGTTCCCTTCTATAATGAATTATTTTCCAGTATTGCTGAGCTTTGCAACATTGCCACCATATATGGAGGTATGGAGGAGGGATTAAATCTTTTCGTTACATTTCTAGCATTTCACAGAAAAGGAGTACTCCTTTTCACAATCTGTCTGGTGTAATGTTCTAGTGGTAAAATACCTTACAACAATTCTAACTATAATGTTCAAGGTAAACTTGAGCTGTGGTGGCACAGTGGTTAGAATGCAGCATTGCAGGAAAACTCTGCATTCCACTGCCAGGATTTCGATCCTGACTGGCTCAAGGTTGATTCAGCCTTCCATCCTTCTGAGGTCAGTAAAATGAGAACCCATTTAGAGAGGGCTGTAAAGTATTGTGAAGTGGTATATAAGTCTAAGTGCTATTGCTATTGCTAAACTTAATAATCTTTTTCTACTGAAAAAGTCTGGAGTTTGATCCTGATGGGACTCAGGCTGACTCAGCTTTCCACCCTTTCGAGGTTGGTAAAATGAGAACCCAGATTGTTGGAAGTAATAGTGTACATTGTAAAATGCTCAGAGAGTGCTATAAAGCACTATGGAGCAGTATATAAGTCTAAGTGATACTGCTAAGTGTTACATTTGGATTGCTGAAACTGGTCTAAGAAACTTAAACTATACTGTCAAGAATGTCAGTTTTATAAGATTCCCTGGCAGGTTGCCTCATGGCTTCTTAGTAAAACCCGAAGAAGATAATTTGCCAAACTTCCAAGGAAAACAAGAGTGGTTTTTCCAGCTTCAACTCTTTCAACTGAACTGTCAGTTTGGATAGTGTGGACCTGTTTCCCCCTAGCTACCTATTCTGGCTCCTCTAGACTTTGCCACCAAAAAGCACTCATGCCATTTGCAGATACTCCAAGCAGTGAAGTTTTTAAAAATACTGCCAAGGTACCTTAAGATTTATGCATGATACTGGGTGGGTATCTCTCAGTTGCCATTAGACCAGGGAGGGAAAGATGCCTTTCTTTTGTCCGGAGTGCTCCTGGAATTTAAGCAAAAGAGCCCTAACCTAGCATTAAAGTCAACTACCATCATCACAACTACTGCTGGGAAGTTTCCTCTTAGAATAACTTTACTCTTTATGATTGCAAATATATATCTTGTATATTTAAAAAAATACACAAGAAGCAAGAATATAATCCATTTTCACAGCAGAAACTAAATTTCACAACTGGTGTTGCATGCTGTTTGTATGGAGCCAGTTTAACCCAGTATACTTAGGCTTTCTTGAAAGAAAGATAATTAATCCCTCTCTTATTCTTCTTCACCCACTTTTAGTAACTCCAAAAGTAATAAGGAACATTTGTCTATATATATATTGTCTTTGTGAAAATGTGAGATTTGAACATCTCCTTCCCTTCCCTTATCCTAAAGAGAACCAGGGAGGGTGAACTCTGAGATATTTACTCAAATTACATTCCTACTATGGGCTTTTACCTGATTGTTGCATTGACTGTGGCTCTTTCTCTTCTTCCTCAAGGTTGTTCTCATAGACCATTACAGTTGGCCTTCTTTTATAACAATATATAGGGCTGGCAGAGATTATTAGAAAAGAATAGGACCTTCCAATCTCTGATTATTAAGATTATTAATATTTATTAAAACTGAAAAAGTAACCTATGAATCCATTGAGTATTATGAAATTGACTTTCAGATGAGGATCCATCTCTCCGTCCGTCTTATTCTGGGAACTATAAGTTTGTTCGCTTTCTCATATGTTTGTGATGAACTGGAGACATACTTTTCCTCTTTGGAGGAGAGGTAGAAGAAATACAATGCCCAGCCTCATTCCCTCAATTCAGTTCCTCAATCTTTCCACCACAATCAATTCTATTTTAACAAGCTATGCACACAACCACTCTAATTCATTTTCTCTGCCAAGAGCAGACTGCTTTTTGTCAAGTGCTTCCATTGACTCACCTACCAATTCAACCCATATTACATGCCACATAAGCCTCTTTCTTTACCTTCCATAACCATTATGAACATACCCTTCCTCAGACCTTCTCCCACAAATACACAAAAAACAGATTGGGTGGGGGGCATGGCTCTGTTTTTTCTCTACGGAGGAGGCCTTCCAACAATATACACTGCATTTCGTGCAGAAATTCCCTTCCTTACATTTTCTAAAATTTTCTTTTCTCTCAGTGTCTGTTATCATCCAGTTCCTTCCCAGGTTGCAGGAACCCTCAGCAAAGCCTACTCTATTGCGACCATGAGAAACTGATGAGAGTCTGATACAGAAATATTATAGTAATATATAAACTTCAAATACTATGTATTGTTTTTATATCAATGACATCTGTGATAAAATGCAAGCAGTTTCTTACCTCAGGATTTGTAAGTGTCTCAGCTTTGTCAGTGCTTTAAAGAAGTCTTCCACATATCTTTCATCCAAACTCCATTTCCTAATGGGGAAAGACATTTTTGTTCTCAGATTTCAGTGTTTCCAGTCCCTATACTTTGCAAATATAATTGTAAAATCCATTTGTAAAGTAACCACAAATGAATTTCTTCATATTTTAATATGGGAAAGTAATAGTAAAAACAAGACCATTTTGTAAATGAAATGGTTACAGAGCTTTATTTGAGGGAATTAAGATTAAGCATGGCATCCTAGATACACACATACACACACACACACACACACACACAAAAGGAATCACAGAGAATATTTCAGGAAACTCAAAGTCCCACAATCAAGACATGAGAAGCAATAGGCAAATCAGGGGTGGGTCCTAAAAATCTTTACTACTGCTTCTGTGGGTGTGGCTTATTTTGTGGGCGTGGCTTGGTGGTGGTGGTGGTAATGTGATTGGGTGGGCATGGCCAACTTTTTTTTTTACTTTTAAAAGCATTTTTTCTACAACCTTAAAAGGTTGCAGAAAAAAATGCTTTTAGAAGCCTCTGACGATCAGGCAAGTCAGATCGGATCGCCAGAGGCTTTTAAAGGCATTTTTTTTTCCTACAACCTCTTCGGCTGAAGAGGTTGCAGAAGAAAATGCTTTTAGAAGCCTCTGGTGATCCCAGCTGAGCCGCATGATCATCAGAGGCTTTTTTTTTTTACTTTTAAAAGCATTTTTTTGGCTGAAGAGGTTGTAGAAAAAATGCTTTTAAAAGTAAAAAAACAAAAAGCTTCTGATGAGGTGGGCAGGGTAAGCAAGCGGCGACCAGGCCGGGGACAGGTTCGGGGGCATGGCCAGCCAATGTTATTACCGGTTCTCCGAACTACTACAAATTTTTACTACTGGTTCTTGCGAACCGGTGCGAACTGGGAGCAATCCACCATTGATGCAAATGTTATATACTCACGCATGGATACACACCATACATAATCATATTCATTCATCTTCAGAGAATAATTATTGCCTATAATTGCTAGAATAGAATAGAGTTGGAAGGGAAGGGAAGTCCAACTAGAGAGCCTGGATAGCTCAACAGACTAAGCACTGTAATTTAACACCAGCTGTCTGCAATTAAAGTAAGATTGAATCTCGCCAGGCTCAAGGTTGACTCAGCCTTCCATCCTTTCTAAGGTAGGTAAATTGAGGACCCAGTTTGTGGGGGCAATAAACTGACTTTGTATAAAAATATACAAAAGTATGAAGGCTATTGCTTAACGCACTGTAAGCCGCCCTGAGTCTCCGGAGAAGGGTGGCATATAAATCAAATTGAAAAAAACAACAACAACAACACCTGCTTTTTATAGAACGGGCTGAGGAAAGGCAATCAGTGTCTCTTCCTGAAAGGAAGTTCAGAAATTTCCAATTATTGTAGAAGAATTTCCTTATATTATCTGCCATAAGTTAGAAAGTTTTATCCACAATGGACATTCAAATGCAGTGCCATGGAACATTTCAGACTGCTGAATGTAGTTCTTCTTAGTTAACAGGGAGAAAGAGCCTGAGCTTACTTATGGCCAAAAGAACTTCAAATCACTCTTTACAGACTGTCAGTGTCGGGCAATGTATAAAAAAATCAAGTTTCTAAAATATCATTTAAAAGGGTTAGGATTGAGGATTGAGACCCCTCTCTAACATAGCAGCTTAAAGACATTTATCTATAATCTTAAGTGTCATTTTTCTGACACTTTTTTTTATTTTTGAGAGAATAAGTAAGAGAATAGCAGTGGCAGGATCATAAACTGAATTAAATACCTAATGGGTTATAAACTTTCAAAAATACTTACTCATTTTCTGGAAGAAATAATTCTTTCTCTGCCTGATATAGAAATGTATGGTTTTCGATATGGAGATTCTCCAAATTCTGGCAGTGTTGTATGCAATAGGCCAGGATCATCAATTCCATATCTAAATTGCACTGATAATTTATTTCAGTGATACCATCTAGTGCATTTTTTACAAAATTGTCATCCTGGGTCTCATATAAATAACTAAACATTTCTTTTTGCATATTGAAATAAATTCTTGTTTTAATGTTATTTTTCACCCAGTCTAATAGGAACTCTTTATTATTAGGAAAAATTTCCCATCCAAATTCTTTTTTCAATTCTCTCATTCTTTTATCTTCATTTAGGAAACCAAAGAGGAAGCGAAATCCTACTGCAAAATCAGACCTAAAATATGTATGTCTTTCTAATAGTGTCTGCAAATGTTTATTCTGATTTTCAGAATGTCGTTCCTCCCCTTCTAGAACATAGAACAAAGCAGCAAAAAACTCCTGGAAGCTTAAGTGAATGAAGCTGTAGGTTTGAATACAATCAATGTCCCTTTTGAAGAGGTTCTCATTCAGAAAGAGGGAGAGGGATTGTTCCTGATCGAAACTATGCTTCTTGACTTCTTCCTCCATAAATAGTATTTGTTGTTTCCAGATTCCTTCTGTGGCTAAAGAGCACAAACCTTTCACATTTGCTCGGATATCCTGTTTGGATTCTTTGTGATGAAATTTTAACAAGCTGGAGAGATACAGCATATAGATTGCAGTGAGAGTGCATGGTGTCTTCTGCAGATCCTTGCCTCTCTCCATCTCTTGTTTCACCACTGTGCAGATGATCCAGCTCACAAGGGGAATGACACACATGGTGAAAAGCATATCATTTTGTTTCACAAATCTGAGAGCTTGACTTGCTTGGTTTATATTTTCAAAAAAATTGTAGAAATATTCTTCCCTCTCCTTTGTTGAAAACCCCAATATCTGAAAATACCGTGGATGCTCTAAACATCGATGGAGTTTCTCCAAAGCAATAGGTCTTGTTGTGATTATAAGACAAGATTCAGGTAGAAGCTTTTTTTTAAATAAACTGCTCAAAAGAATTCTCATTGGCTCCTTCTTCCAGGGATCAGTACAAAAGTCATCTTCAGACTGATCAAAGGAATATCTTAATTCATCAAACCCATCAATTATGAACAGAAGCTTCTCTTCATTTTTCAATATATTTCGAGTGACATTTTTCACTGAACGATACTTGGGCCACTGCTTCGAAATTATTTCTGCAATGCTACTCTTTTCTGGTTCTGCATGGAGATTCATCTCTCTACAATAAATATAGAAAATATAATTAAATTTATCCTGGTAAAGTTGTTGAGATGCCCAATCAAGCATGATTTTTTTGGCCATCATGGTTTTTCCAATTCCTGCAGCTCCTTGCAACACAACAACTTGTGGAATTAGTCCACATTTATCAGGGTTAAATAACGTTTTAATGTTCGTTGAAGACTTTGCTCTCTTGCTGATGATTTCAACATGTTTCCTTCCTGTTGCCAGAATTTCATCTTCTCTTTCCTCTTCAGACCGGTGATAATCTAGGATGATTAAGCTTGAGTATCTCTGGTTTAGAGATACATATTCACCAGGAATAGAATTAGGATCTTCGATGGTTTGAAATTTTTTTTGAATGTGGCTTCTGTAATCTAAAAAAAGAATGAATCAAAATAAAATATGAAAAATAAGGCCCGCATAAGAAAGTCAATTAGGTGTATAGTACTACTGCATCTTCTCCTTGAAGCCACCCCGATTCCCCTCTCTGATTAATTTGTTTAGGGAAATTGTAGGATACTCTGTTAATTAGTCTAAATAGAAACTGATGTCAATAGGAAAAATTTGCTAATCAATACATTAAATAATAATTATTTATTTTTTAGTTCTTGTTCTACATAACATTTATGAAATAATTACACTAAATACTAATAATATATATAAATATGTTTCTTCAGACATTGATAGATGGAATTCTTTAAAACTTACCCACCTGAGATATGGTAAATATTCTTAGAATGAATATAATACCGCCACAAGTTATATTTTATGTGATTGTTTTTTATTCAGAAACAAAAGAGACTGACAGATGGATAGATATGGGTTTCTTCAATTCAGACTATGTGTGAAAAATATGTAGTTGTTCATAGATGGGCTTTCGATTTCCCAAATTTTGAATTATACTATTAGACAATTCTTTCTCCTTCTCTTTCTCCTCCTTTCTCCTTCCTCCTTCTCCTCTTTTCCCATAAATACAAGGTTGACTTTTTAAAGATAGTCTGACCATAACCAAATTTAGAGCAACTTCATTCAATATTAATACCCTTCCTAGGATCTTTTGGAATAGTTATATATGTCATTCTTGGTTATTTAGATGGCATCACCTTCAGAACATAACAGATTAGACATGACCCTTGTCACTATTATAGCCAAGTTGAATATTGTGGTAAACTATTTGTAGAAAATTGTATTTTGCTACCTTTTCCCATATTTAATTGATGCAATGCAATAATCAAAATTTTTTTTTTAAAACAAAATCTCTATTCTATGGAAGGTTTGAATCTATGCTGAGATTTTTACTTTAGACTGATTATATAATAATAATAGTAATAATAATAATAACAACAATAATAATGATGATTATGATGTTAGTTTTAATTTCCTTTTTTAAAGGATAAATATCTTTTTACTTTAGCATTCCACTGATGCAACATATATTGGCATCTTATTTTGGACCTGCAGCATTTCAGCTTCAGAGACACATAGATAATTAGAAGTAATCATCAATCTTATGAAACTTAACATCCCAGATAGACTTTATAAATATTAATTTCCAATAAATCATTGACATGTACAATTTAAAAAGTGAATTTAAGTAATAGGTAGAGATTTAATTTAATACAACAACATACTTACTGTCAGTATCAAAATTTTCAATATATCTTAGATTATAATTTATTCAATATAAAATAATATTTATAGGTCCCCCATTACATTTGTACAGAAAAGAAATCAATAAACCATTGCCCTTTTGAAAATGTGAGAATAACATGTCATTATATGTGTGTGTGTGTGTGTGTGTGTGTGTGTGTGTGTGTGTGTGTGTGTGTGTGTATAGTTAATATTTCGGGTTTCTTCCTGTGTAATTGTGGATATATCCCTAAAAGGGTAGAAGCGACGTTTCGACAGAATCTCATTTGCCATCATCAGGCTTATGTGAGGAGTCTTTTGCAGTAACTGCCGTTACTAAACTGCAAAAGACTCCTCACATAAGCCTGATGATGGCAGATGAGATTCTGTCGAAACGTCGCTTCTACCCTTTTAGGGATATATCCACAATTACACGGGAAGAAACCCGAAATATTAACTATACACACATATATACCCGTGAAAACTTACACACACACACACACACACACACACACACACACACACATATATATCTTTTTTCCTTTTTCGTAGGCTTTTATGTGCATATTCTTTCTAGCCAGGTTTTACCTACGTAAACTTAGTTGTTCTACAGCCCTAGGTTCTGTGAAATCTCATTCACAAGTTTCTGGGCCTTTTTTCTGCTGACAAACTGCAACTCTGTGTTGCTCTCTGGGAGACTGTGTTGCTCTCTCTCCCAGAGAGCAACACAGAGTTGCAGTTTGTCAGCAGAAAAAAGGCCCAGAAACTTAAAATGGGTTTAAACTTTTTGGAATGGCTATATTCTGGGAACTATTACCTATTATGGGAACATTGCTAGCTGGACAACAGAAATGGATTTTCTGTGCCATCCTTAGCAGTAAAAAAACTTTCTATTGGAGATTGGGAAGATGCATTTATGGCTCCAATTAGCCAATGGACTAAAGATTTCATATTATTAGAAAGAGTCCCTCGTTGAGGGAGATGGGCAATTCAGAAATGTGAAAACCAAACAAATAAGTAACCTGCAAAATCTGAACAAGTTGTGTACAAACGGAGTCTATGAATGGACAATTAAAATGTAATACTAGATAACCTGCTGAGTTATCTAGTATTGACTGTTGAGTCATCATTTTAGATATATTTCCTTCTTTGAACAGAGAAACAGAATGACAGGAGACAGAAAAACAGCAGTGGGAGTGGGTGGGGAATGACTTTAGTTCCTGCCACTTTCCATTGAGCTTTCTTTTGGGAAGCTGGCAGGGAACATTGGGGATTTTCCTTCCTTCCTTCCTTCCTTCCTTCTTTCCTTCCTTCCTTCCTTCCTTCCTTCCTTCCTTCCTTCCTTCCTTCCTTCCTTCCTTCCTGCCTGCCTGCCTGCCTGCCTGCATTGCCTGCACTGCCAAAACCACTTTGCAGCTTTTCCCATTGGAGTTAGGGTTAGGTTTAAAGTTAGGGCCCATTCATGCTTGAATTAACTTTAAACATAATTTGGTGAACTTTTAAAAAAAAAAATTTATTAGAGCATTTTGTTATAGTTTAAAAAAAATCAAAAACAAATGTATAATAATTTTTCTATCACTGTGTAACACCACCAAAATATCCATATATATATACACCAATAATCAGAGAGTAAAAATAGAAAATATTTACAGATTCTTGTATACAAATTTACATTTCCAATACTTATTAATTACTATAAATATACCATCATCTATAATTATAACCCAACATTATCCTTTGTCTCTCTCCCATCGTTTCTGGGTCCAATCATACCACATATTCCAACTACCATAAAAGTCTGAGTCTCTTTTACCCTTGATCAGTTTTGTAAGTCTATCGGACTCTGCACATTCCATGTTTTTATAAATTATTTTTGAGTCCGTTGGTAAGTCCTCATTCTTCCATTCTTGTGCGAATGCCAGTCTCCCTGCAGTAATTATGTGCAACATCAAATACCATTTAGTCAATCCAATATTTGCAGGTCTAACCCCCAACAAAAAGGTTTCCGGTTTCAGTTCCACTCTACAATGTGTGATTTCAAGCAATCATCATCGTACTTTCTTCCAATATTTAGCTGCCAGTGGGCATGTCCACCATTGGTGGAAGTAAGTTCAATTGCTATGCCGACATTTCCAGCACTGTGAAGATGTCCCGGGGAACATTTTAGCTAATCTAGCTGGAGGTAGGTGCCATCGATAAACCATCTTATAAATATTCTCTTTATAAGAGGATGTCATAGTTAATTTTAAATTTTTAAGCCAAATCTCCTCCCATTTTTGAAGATCCAATGAATAACCCATATTTCGCCCCCAAGCAACCATGGAGTCTTTAATGACTTCCTCCACCGCTTTCAATGATAATAGGTAAGAATAGCATTTCGATAAGACTTTCCTGTCATTACCTAATAAGATTTTATCCAATTCTTGTTTTCCATGATATATCCCTTCACTCTCCTGATCTTTCTTCCATCTTGAGTGTATTTGGGTGTAGGCCCTCCAGTCTATGTTACACCCCTCTGACCTCAGTTGTTCCCGTGTCTTCAGTCTGCCCTGAGTATCCAAAATATCTTCATAGGTCAAGACCTTCTCTCCTTTACATAATGTTGGGTATACCAGGGCCTCCTGAATTGAGATCCAACATGGTATCTTCAGATACAACTTTCTCCTAAGTCTTTCCCAGGTATCCCCTAGGATCTTAGGTAAATAATGATTCCAAAAATACCTCGGTCGGGCTGACTGTCCTGGCCATAAGAAGTGGTACCAACCGTGTTGAAGGCCATAACCTTCTGCCACCAATAGCCACCTCCTTTTCAGGGCAATCCAGTCCTTCACCCATATCAGAATGGCTGCCTGATGGTAAAGCTCCCAATTTGGGAGTCCAAATCCCCCTCTAATTTTAGGTTCCTGCATCATCCTGAGCTTAATCCTTGATTTTTTACTTTGCCAAATAAATTTAGAAACAACTCTGTTCAAGTTGTTGAAGAATTCCCTATCCAAACTTATCAGGGCAGTTTGGAACAAAAACAACCATTCCCCTTTATAATCAGACAGTTAGAGATTTGGAGAGGTGGAAAAATTTACAGCTATCACTTATGGGAAGGATTGCTGCCGTCAAAATGTATGTCCTCCCCGAATGGTGAACTTTTAAATGACTGCTGCCTTACCTGATGAATCTGGCGGTCGGTGAGCATCAATATCTGTAAGTGAAGATGGTCTATCATTAGTAAAATACAAATTATTTAAAAAATAATTTCAGAGCTTTTTTAAATAGGTAACTACATGGGTGACTCTATGGATGCCTACATTTGCAATGTATATTGGATTTCATATCTAATAGTTCATATATGTTCCTATAAATTTCTTTTCCTGTTTACCTCTTTTCATTTATAGGCAGATGTGAATGGCCCACAACTGTGAAAATTACCAGACATAACTAACTGTGCCCTTGCCTTATCTCCCAGTCTAGCTTGTATGGAAGAAGGAGAGCTACCATTAAATCACTCCTCCCACTCCTAAAACACTAAGGCACAGGTGTCAAACTCGATCGTGTCACATGACATATTGTGACGTATGGCGATGTTTTTTGCCTTTGCGGAGATGGAGTGGGTATGGCTTGCGTGTGACACATCCAGCCCATGGGCCACCAGTTTGACAAGCCTGTACTAAAGTGTTCCAAAAGGATATCAACATCCTTGGCATTAAAGGCAATCCAGAGATCAAGGAGACTTAGGATAGATGTGCTACTCATGTCCTGCTCCCATCAGGGGTCATTTATAAATGCAATCAAGATCATCCTAGTGCTAGTTCCCAGCCTGAACCATGACTGGAAAGGATCTAGGTAATTGTTTCCTTTAGGTATCTTCAAAGCTGCAGGATCTGCTTGGCAGCATTTTTCATCCTGCTTGGCCTCTACTTAAAGTCCCCACCTTTCATCATCTTCATCTCTACTTTTGGTTTGTTTTTTATATGTGGATGGTAGGGGTAGAAATCCTCACCTGCCCAAGGTGAGGCCTTTGTGGAATTGATGGGGTGTGTCATATTACAGTCCTCCATAATTTACTTTCCAAGTGAATCTTAAACTTAAACTTAAATAATTTTGCATTCTATCTTTAGTCCAGCAAAGCTCCCGTTTTGGATAATGGTTCTTTTGGGTTTTCCAATTACAAATATGTCTCTTTTGGGCATCGGAATTTTAGAAGCTGAGCGAGCTCTTCACCATATTTCAGCTAAATGTGAACTGGGTTTCAATGATACCATGTCAGCCATTCAATCTTTTTAGCCTTTTCTTTTCTAGTCTAAGTAGTTTGATAAAAGGGCAGCACCCTAGATCTTTGGACAGGGATGTTCAAGGGTGTGTGTGTGGATTGTGCCTTCCTTCAAAAATATGGATGTTTTTACAGAGACCAGTCTGATGAGTTATCCAACAGAATATCAAGCAAATTAAAGCAGCCCTACACGTTGCAACAAGAGACAAATGGAATTTCTTCTTGGAATTGCAACTGGTTCTGGGATGCTTTTTGGCTCCCTAATTTGGCATCCCCACTGTAAAAATATACTCAGGGGATTTTAGATATTTGGGACTGTCCTTCCCCAAGATCAGCTCTCAATTTCTTTCCACTTGGGATTGCTGCAAGATAGAAGTTGCCCTTCTTTGTTCTCTGGTTCCACCCAGTACTTCATGCTCTGCTCACTTCCCTAGTAGCAACAATAGCATCACCACTTGTAAGATATTGTAATGCTGTATCATGTCAGGAAGCTTGCTAGATAAAAGCATGAACAAAATCATGGTGATATCACATCCTGGTGACTTTGTGGTTCTCTTTCTCTACCCTCCCTGCTTTGCAGGAAGGCTGGACCCATTTGACTAGTCTACCCCCAGTGACTAATGGAGCCAATTGGGCTTCAAAGGGAGCTGGGGGAAATAACTTTTGATCTGTTACATACTCTTCCAGACATCCTGGTGGCTGCCTGGAATAGGGAAAGGGCCAAGGCCTCAGACAGGATTGCGTCTGTGCGGTCTCTTTTGGACCATTGCTCCTGTTGCTCCCTATAATTCACTGAGGAGTTGAGGGAGCTGAAAAGGATCAAGAGGCTCCTAGAGCACTACTGGAGGAAAATAAGAATGAATTCAAATGCACATAAGCTAGTACTGCTGTTAAGGCCTAACTCATGGCAGTAAGAGTGTCGAAATGCCAGTACGTCTCCTCTCTTACTGCATTTGCAGAATGCTGCCCAAGGGCTCTGTTTAGGCTTACCAGGACTCTCCTAGGCAAAAGTGAGGCTGGAAGCCTATTTACAGGACTGTGCAAAGGAATTTTCCTTGTAACTGGAAGATAAAATCTCTCGGATTCGACCCCAGTTAGGTACCAAGCAGGATACAAATCCTGTGGAGATGCCCAGACTGCTTCTGAATCCAATTCAAGGTTATAATCTTTAAAGCCCTATATGGAATGCGGCCAGGTTACTACAGAGCTGTCTTAATCCCATTAATTCAGTTTGTCCCACCCAGTCATGCAGGTAAGGTATGTTGTGGACACTGTCAACTAAAAATTCTGACTGGCAGAGTCCAGGAACAGAGCCTTCTCTGTCTCTACCCCCATCCTGTGAAACACTCTACTCCAGAGGTGAGGCAGGCACTCACTTTCCCATCCTTTCATGTTATAATAATATGGTTCTAGAGCAATGCATGGAGTGCAGAGAAAATGCAACCGTCTGATTGGTTAATACTCTGAAAGCCCTCTTCCCCCATCTTTTAATTAATTTTTCATATTAATTTTTAATCCACTTTTGCCTTCTTAAATTGTAAATTTCATACTGTCAAACTATTTACTAAGTCTGTACTGCTATTAATCTTGTCATCATTCCTATCACCCATCTCCCACGTATGACTGTATGACTGTAACATTGTTGCTGGTATACTTACGATTTATATTGACTGTTTCCCAATATGATTTGATTGCTTATTTATTCCCTATGACTATCATTAAATGTTTTACCTTATGATTCTTGATGAATGCATCTTTTCTTTTATGTACACTGAGAGCATATGCACCAAGACAAATTCCTTGTGTGTCCAATCACACTAGGCCAATAAAGAATTCTATTCTATTCTATTCTATTCTATTCTATTCTATTCTATTCTATTCTATTCTATTCTATTCTATTCTATTCTACTCTACTCTACTCTACTCTACTCTACTCTACTCTACTCTAATTTGCATACACTATTTTAATGTTTTGGTTTTTTTTTACTTCTACACCACGCAGAATTCCAGTTTGAGGGAAAAGGGTGGTTTTAATTATTTGATCAATAATTAAATATTTTTAAAGGATCTTCTTTAAATTTAGATCAATGAACTAAGCTGTTTGGTTGAAGTTGGCTCAACATTTTTCTTTGACAGTGACGGGAATGTGCCAAATTGAGTGATACAGCAGATGCTTCCCTTAGGTTTGATTCCAGAGAAAAGACTGGGAATTTCAGGCTAGAAGGAAAGCCCCACTCTGAAAACCTGGAGAGCTACTGTCAATCTTAGCCAACAACAACAAATCAATTGAAAAGGATTTCAGTGGCAGGCAGTTTCCAATTTTTATTTCCAGTTGATCTCACATGGAGATAACTTTTCTATAATATGTTGGATTTTCTTACCTATTTGTAGAGTTTCCTCAAGTTTTTTAGCAATTTCATATATGTTGCTCTTTTTAAGGACATAAATGCACACCTCTACAGCATCTTCTCCATAATATTGAATCAGGAGATCTACAACTTCTTGTTGATTAGCTTTCTCCAATGAAGCTGTAGGAATGTTTGGCTTTCCGTTATGGTTAATAAATTTTAGCCACCATTTAAAACTGTTAAATTGCTTCTCAAGGAGGTCATTCAATGAATTGTAAAGATCTTCCCTCATGGTGTTGTTCATGTCAGTTATGATGGATTATATTTGATCTAAAATTAAAATTAGAGAATTAAACTAATATTTTATAGAAAATGAAGATTGAAGGAAACAGTTTTCCCTGTTTTCAAATTAAAACATGTTGCTCATTCATAAAGGTATTAAGTTACCTATAGCATGTTGTTTATTATTTGTTTTATACAACTTTGTGTAGGTCGCCTACTCCATACATTCCAGGCAAGTAATAGTTTTAAAATAGATGGCACTCATCATTATCTCCCCTTCATGGATTACTGCCTTGTCGTGGAGAAAGGGCTTGCATAGGTAAATGAAGCTATGAGCTGTGCTGTGCAGGGACACCCAAGACGGACAGGTCATAGCAGAGAGTTCTGACACATGATCCACTGGAGAAGGAAATGGCAACCCATTCCAGTATCTTTGCCATGAAAACCCCATGGACAGTACCAAAAGGCAAAAAGATATGAAGCTGAAAGATGAGCCCCTCAGGTTGGGAGGTGTCCAATATGCTACTGGAGAAGAGCAGAGGGCTACTACTAATAGTGCCAGAAAGAGGGAAGCGACTGAGCCAAAGCCGAAAGGATGCTCAGCTGTGGATGCATCTGGTGGTGAAAGGAAAGTCCAATGCTGTAAAGATTTTTTTTTTCTCCATAGGAACCTGGAATGTAAGATCCATGAATCAAGGCAAGCTGGATGTAGTCAAACAAGAGATGACAAGACTGAACATCGACATCTTAGGAATCAATGAACTAAAATGGACAGGAATGGGTGAATTTAATTCAGATGACCATCAGATATACTACTGCGGGCAAGAATCCCTCAGAAGAAATGGAGTAGCCTTCATAATCAATAAAAGAGTAGGAAAAGCAATACAGGGATACAATCCCCAAAATAACAGAATGATCTCAGTTTGAATCCAAGACAAACCATTCAATATCACAGTAATCCAAGTCTATGCCCCCACCACTCATGCTGAAGAGGATGAAATTGACCAGTTCTATGAAGCCCTACAGCATCTTATAGAATTAACACCAAAAATGATGTCCTTATCATCATGGGGGATTGGAATGCTAAAGTAGGAAGCCAAAAGATAACTAGAATAACAGGCAAGTTTGGCTTTGGAGTACAAAATGAAGCAGAGCACAGGCTGATAGAATTTTGTCAAGAGAATATGATGGTCATTGCAAACACTCTTTTCCAACAACCCAAGAGACGACTCTACACATGGACATCACCAGATGGTCAACACAGAAATCAGATTGACTATGTGCTCTGCAGCCAAAGATGGA